GTACTCCCTGCCCCCAGGGTTTTGTTGCCTGACCTTTGGGAAGTTGCCCTCACACTGACAGTCTATGAGCTGGTATCAGAGCTGAAAGGCAGTCTTAGAGGTCACATGTGCCCCATCAGCTGCTCTGGCAGCCTCCTAGGGTCTTGGGACCCTCGGTGGCCTGTTGGAGAGGAGGTCCACCTCTTCCAGCAAATGTGGTGACTTCCTCAGGGGAGCTGAGGTCAGTGGAGTGAGTGGCAGGGCAGTCTCCTGGGGAGGGAAAGAAGGGCCAGGGGAGAGATGCTTGCCTGAGGCTTCACACAGGGATCTTGGCTGGCGTTGCCAGAACCGAGTACAGAGACCAGGTGACTTACACCCATTTCTGGAGGCTGGAAGTCCAAGGTCAGGTGGCAGCTGTGAAGCTCCAGCTGATGGAGGCCACAGCCCTTCAGGGATCAAGGAATAGAGTGTCAGAGGCATAAGCGAAAGCTTGGTGTTGCTCAGCCATGGGAAGCCAGGGACCAGGACCAGCTGTCTTCTGGCCCTTCTCGCCCAGGGCCCCTGCAAGTCCCTGGGCAGCCTCCTCTTTGTGGATGATAGACTCTCATGAGCAGGCTTCTGACACAGCACTGGTGGGACCTGGGAGGAAGTGTGCAGAGGAAGGTGGCCCCTGCTGCAGGCCAGGACACTGGTGAATGGCAGCCCTAGGGACTAAGGTCCAAGGCTGCTGCTGCAGTTCCCTTGGAGCCAGCGTGGACACGGAGTACGTGTCCTGGGAGTGTGGACCTCTGTCTGTGCAGATGAGCCACCTGGTGTTGAGAAAGAGGAAGGTTGCTGGCAGAGCAGGGCCAGGCATGGCCCTCCTGTCATGCACCCAAACCATTTGGGTCCCCAGAGCTGTCTGCCCCCATCTGATGGCCCAGTGCAGGGACAGCCTGGGTTCTTGGCCTCCCTGGGAGGCTCTGCAGCACACAGCTTCTGTGGGAAACCAGTCCTGCCACGTTCTCAGGGACTGGACTTCCTTTGGTCTCACTTTTCTCTTTATGGAAAATTAAAGAAAAGCTTTGGCAGATTGCTTCGTGTGACCAGGTGCTGCCTGCCCCGTGCAATTGGGGTGATTTTCTTTCTGAAGGAAGTCAGAAAGTTGACTTCCAGGGAAATGGGGGTCACCAGGCGGGCTTCCTGGGGTGCAGCATGTTCTGACCCAAGACCATTGGGGCTCAGAAGAAATAGGAGGCTCTCTTTTCAACCCCCTCCCCAGAACCCCGAAGCAAACGGTTTCCTTTTGCCTTGCTTATGCAGTCTCTTCTCATTCCACCCCTGCTCCCTACCCGGTGCTGCTGCCTGTGATGATTCCGTGGGGCACGGCTGTGTGTCCGTGTCTATGTCTTTGGGTGTGGGTCTGTAGGAGTTTGTATTTTTTTTCCCTCTTTGGTACCAGGGATCAAACTCACAACTTTGCACTTGCCAGGCAGACACTTTGCTGCTGGGCTATATCCCAGCCCTGGAGTCTGTATTTTTTTTCTTTTTGAGTCTGTAATTTGTATCTGAGTCTGTGTGAGAAAGCAAAAGGGAATTTGTTTCTGGGGCTGTGTTTGAGTCCGCGTGTTTGTGTGTGCATACACTTCTGGGTGAGGAACCAAATAGGACCTTTTGACCTTTTTCCTAAACCAGCCCCCTCTTTTTCTAGCTGTAGAGGAACCTGCCAGGGGAGTGTTGTCACCAGTCAGCTCTCTCCACATCTTGAAGCTCATCCTCTGCACGGAGGGTGTAATTAGGGCCCCTCATCCTTTTGCCCAGGTCCTGCATTTGGCTGGGAATTGAGATTAAGTTCAGTGCAGTGCAGGTCTTGGTTAGGATTGGATGTGAGTGCAAGTAACAGAAAAGCCACCTGATATTGGTTGAAAAAGATAAGAACTAATTTGTCCAAGAGCAACAAGAAGTGCAAAGGAGGTCAGCCGGAGAGGGCGCAGAACCAGGGCGGTCTGCCTGGAAGCATAGGACCCTTTCATCTCTGCACCACCTTGTTCTCCTGCACCTTCCTTGACTGCCTGCGTTCTCCCCTGGTCCTGTACTCTCACAGCAGTGTCAGAGCTGTCATGGAATTCCAGGAGGTGACGCCTGTGAGCGTGCGTGTGCTGAGGGGGGTTGGCAGGGGTCTGGATGGTTTAGTATTCATGGAAGGATGCTCTGCCATAGGCAGGTTGAAACCTGGTGATGGTCATATTGTCCTGCAACCTTTGGAGCCCTGATGCCTTCACTCTCTGGAACAATTTGCTGATGCATAAGTATAAATCACCCTACTGCCTTAGTTAGATGAGATGAATGGGTCAGAGTCTGCAAATCTTGGGAGAAAGATTAGGAAAGCCAGAAGTAAGCATCAGCTCCCGATCCATCAAAGGATGGACTGTTAGGAAGTGTGGACAGCACAAAATGGATGTAGAAGGGCCTGCTATCACCAAGGATGTCTTGGGCTCTAGCAGACCTCAGCTGGTGCCCGGACCCTCCCAACAGTGTGCCAGTTTAGGCAGCACAGCAGGTTACCAGCTGTACGGGGTTGTAGGGAGGACAATGCGTGTTCATGTCCAGCCTCCATCCAGAGTCCACACTGGGCCAGCTCCTGCCAAGAAAAAGATGACCTGGACTGACGGTCGTGTCTGTGTGTGACTTGGCTCAGAAACGTCAGTGACAGAGCAACCTTTTGTGACCTCCTCTAGCCAAGTCCGAGGTTCTAGACGTTACTGGCACACAGCTGTGTTCCACCAGCACCCAGGGGAGGAGTCTTGGCGTGAGTTTTAGGATTACCAGCAGCCTTGTGGAACGGGCTAAGGGAGGTCAGCTGGCACAGCCCCTGGCATGCCCATCAGCCTGGTGCCCTAGCCCACGTCAGGGGCCGGGGACTGTGGGATGCTGGGCTGTAGCCTTCTGCCTTCACACAGTTGGTTTAGAGATGTGCCCATCATGGGGTGGGTTTGGGAGGCACAGGGAAGTCCAGAGGCCCTGCCAGCCTTCCTGGGCTTGTCGTCATTATCTTAGCATGCCCTGAGATCAAGGTCAAGTCTTTTCCCATTACTGAGTTCTAACATAGACTAGAGGGTACAAATTGAATTTAGGGTACAAAGACAGTGTCCTAACAAAAGACATCACTACTACCTACAAGGAGCAAGGTTGGAAGAGTCCTGTCACCTCTCCTAGGTCCTACAGTGCAGGAGCCACAGGCAGGTGGTCTGCCAGGCTCTGCCCTCCTCTGTGCCCCAGGGCACCCTCAGCTGGGGCCTTTTATCCAGTGCTCACAAGAGTCTGTGTGTCCAGCCACAACTGCAACAAACAGTTCCTTTTCTCCCTCTTCCTTCTTCTCCTCTTGCTCCTCCTCCTCCTCTTCCCTCTCCTCCTCCACCTCCTCTTCTTCCTTCTCCACCCCCTCTTCCTCCTCTATCTCCTCTTTTTCTTTCTATTTCTCTTCCTCCTCCTCTTCCTCCTCCTCCTCCTCCTCCTCTGGGGCTGAGGCTACTAGGAGAGGCCACATTTTCATCTGCAGGCTCTGGCCCTCATGCTGAGCTGAGCTCCCTGAGGAAGTTCCGCTTTGGCTCTTTTAGGATTCTGTTCTCACTTATTTTTCTGGGTATTTTTGTCCCCTTTGGGGACAGAAACACATGGCAGCAGGTGGCATCAGTTGAAATGGCTACAGAACAGACGCCTTGCTGTGGGCCACCCCGTCCTCTCTGGGCTTCCCTGGGCAAGGGGACAGGCAAAGCATTTGCCTCCTTTCCTGTCTCCTTGCTGCCCGCTGCTCCGATGCCTCCGCTCAGATGGGCAAGGACGCAGCAGAACTCCCGGTGCTACCTGTGCTGGGGTAGCTGTTCCTGTGCAGAGTGTTATGGTGTGGCTGGAGGCGTCCCCCCGAAGTGCCCTTGCTGCTTTGTTACTAGAAATAGAGCCTTAGACCACAGCAAGGGGCCCTAGGATGCAGTGGGACAGGGCGTTCTACCCAGCTGTCACCCCTTCAGAATCAGTAGCAGGGACATGGGCTGTGTTCCTTGGTGCCGTGGCCTCTGGCCTGAGAATCAGGGGCTTCACTTCACCTCCAGCCCTGGCCACTGCCTTCCTGTGAGACCCCAGGTGGGTTCCTTACCTCTCTAGCATTTATTTGCACATTTAGTCAGAGTTTTAACTAGATTGTCACTGTGGCCTTCCTATGCTGTGGTGTATGCGCTTTGTGATTCAGACTTTGCCAGGCTTCCAGGCAGAGGGACGCAGCAGCCCTAGAAATTGCTTCCCGTGCCCCTCTCTGATCTGCAGACCCTCAGGGCTTCAGCAGGCCCCAGGCCCCACTCCTGCACTCAGAGGGTCTGCAAAATGACCTAGGGCCCTCGGGCCCTCCAGTGGGCTGAACCCAGAAAGTGAAAGCGCACTAACTCCTTAAGGGACAGCTTACCTCCAAATTCTATGCCTCCATTCATACACGACAAGGGCTATACCCGGCATGGTGGTGCACATCTGTAATCTCAGCACTCTGGAGGCTGAGGCAGGAGGATCACTGTGAGTCTGAGACCAGGCTTGGCTACATAAGTGAGTTCAAGGCCAGCCTGCCCTATGTAGTAAGACCCTGTCTCCAAAGGGGAGGAAAAAAAAAAAAACCAAACAACAACAGACAAAGATGAGAAGGCTGTGGGCTCTTGCTGCCTATTGGTGGTGGTGCGGGGGGAGGTTTCTGGAGATTTAACCCACAGCCTCGTGCATACGCAGCATAGTACCACTGTGTTGGACCCCAGACCTTTCATGTTTGGTCATTGGCCTTTTTCCTGCCAGAACAGCCCTTGGATGTAAATCCATTCTGATTTTCATTTCTCATCCCCGGGTACATATCTGAGGTAGCCAGCCTCAGAGCTTCTAGACTGTGCACGAGCTGGCAGGCCTGCCCCTGTCCCTGACTATTCCCTGGGCGGGGCTCACGGGGCACCCCTGAGTGGGCATGGCCCCCATCCAGCCACTCTAACCCTCCTATTGTGTGTTTTTTGCAGCCTGCGATTGTCACCCCGTGGGTGCTGCTGGCAAGACCTGCAACCAGACCACCGGTCAGTGTCCCTGCAAGGATGGGGTGACGGGTATCACCTGCAACCGCTGCGCCAAGGGCTACCAGCAGAGCCGCTCGCCCATCGCACCCTGCATCAGTATGTGTGTGACCCCTGCTCTCAGCCTTTGGGGTGGGCAGAGGGACTGGGCTGGGGAATGGCTGGTTTCTGATGTTAATGCCTGGTGCTCAGGGAGACCCAGTGGAAGACCTCAGTGTGCGGTTGGGGAAGCATCCTGCAGGAGCAGCTGAGGGCTCAGCAGAAGCAGCCTGTACCTGGCCCATTGTCCTGACAGACACTGCCTCTCTGGCTCCAGGGGAAAAGCAAGCGCTTCCCCCAGCACAGGTCCTGTTCTCGAATCCCACCTTCACCCCAGATCTGGGGTGGGCTGCTGTGGCTGCAGGAATCCCAGTGTTCCCCTGCCCTGGTGCACTGAGAATGGAAAGAACTGAAAGCCCAATACCTTTGAGAAAAGGCTTAAAGGGTGACTGTCACCCGAGGCCAGCGGTGGAGAACCTACAGCATATGTGCTGCAGGGGGTTTTCCTGTCCCTGAAAGCTGTCAGAGGTTCACCATCACTGCTCTAGGAGCTCTGGGGACCTTGTTAGACCAGAGCTGCCAGAACATGAGAGAGGCTGAGCAGGGTGGCAGGATCACTCAGAGGCCTTGGTGCCGAAGGGTTGCAGTTTATGCCTGGTGGGCTTGCTCTGGGGTTGCAAGTGGAGAATTAGCCCTGGTTAGAAAGCCTAGCCTCACTGCAAGTTGGCTCAGCTTTGCTCTGCTTCTCAGCCTTGTTGGTTCCTCATGCAGGGCTGACAAGCCAAGAAAGGACTTGGGGGAAGAGGAGAAAAGGGAGGAAGAGGAGGGACGGGAGGAGTGAGAGGACTGGTGAATCCCAGCAAACAAGGCGGGAGCCCCTGAATGAAGTCTGCTTTTCTAGAGAGCAAGGTTGGCAGATCTGGCCCAGGAATTTGGCTCCGCCTGCTTTTGTGTGGCTCCGTAGTTTGTACCTTTTTAAATGGTTGAAACAGAAATCAAAGGAAGAATAATATTTCATGACACATAAAAAATTATGTGAAATACAAAGCTCAGTGTCCATAAATAAAGTTTTATTGGGATAGAGCTTCACCCCCTCCCCTTCCCTCATGTTTTCTGTGGCTGCTTTTGTGCAGTTAACAGCAGAGACCGTGTGCCCCACAGAGCCTTGAAATATTTACTACTTGGCCCTTCTCAGGGGAAATCAGTCAACCCCTACTTCAGAGATTCTCTGTCTCTTCGTTCTGGGTGGGCTTCAGTGACTATTAATTTAGGAGGGACTTGGAACAACCTGTGTCACAAGGCCAGCTCCTAGGGGCCAGGAAGGTAGGGACTCCCTCTTCCCAGTGGCAGTCTCAGAGTCCTTGAGCACTGCAGGCTCTGCAGACAGCCTTTCCTTGAGCAGTGGGCACCTCAGACGCTGCACACCTCCCCTGCCCTGAGAGTGGCCTGCACCTCCAAACAGGCTGGCCGTGTTAGTGCCAGCAGCTGCTGACCAGTTTCTGAACAGAGGGGCTTCTCCAGCTGATAGCCACACAGGTCCCAAATTACCAAAGTCTGAGCCCCAGGAAATGAACTGGATGTCTACCATGGGGCAAGCAGGCTGAGATGGGCGGCTCAGTGGTAGAGTGCTTGCCTAGTCTGTCCAAGGCCCTGGGTTTCATCTTAGCATTGTCTTAAAAAAAAAAACCCAGACCAGAGCAGCCCAGCGCAGCCAGGAACAGTGGCACACACTTATAACAGTGGCACACACTTATAATTCCAGCGTTCTGGGAGGCTGAGGCAAGAGGATCACAAGCTCAAGCCTAACCTGGGCTGGAACTGGACTAGTGACTCAGCAAGAACTTGTGTCTTTTCTTTTCTTGTTTTGTTTTAAAGGCCTGGGATTGTAGCTCAGTGTGAGGGCCCTGGGTTCAACCCCCAGTTCTGGAAGACAGGCAGGCAGGCAGGAATGAAGGAAAGAAGCAAGAAAGGAAGGAAGGGATCGAAAGATTTTTACAATCCTAGTTGCAGAATTTGTACAAATCCTTTCCTCTGTCGGTTTAAAAATCTGCTAAGTAAATATTTTTAGAAAGCTGGGAGGAAATCTGGGGTTGTGAAAATGTAGGGAAGAAGCGAAATCTGCCTGTTTTTTCCTAGGGCTGGGATGGACCCTGGGGCCTTGTCACAGGGTGGGGGTGTTCCAGAACTGAGCCCCGCTTCCAGCCCAAAGTCTTCTCTTTTTATGGCTTTTTGAGTCAGGGTCTTGCTATGTATTTCGGGCTGGCCTCAAATACATGGGGACCCTCCAGCCTCCTGAGTGCTGGGATTACAGACGTGTGCCACCACGCCCAACTGCAGGTCCTTCTTATAAAGATGTTAGAAGCTATCAGGTTGCTCAGAAAGGCTGGAACCAGCATTTCCAATCTCCAAATGGAAAAACCAACTTTAAAATGAGAGTTGACATTTCAGAGTCAGAAATGGAACCCTGGAGTGATGGGACTCCCGTCTTCCCACATGGTCTGCACTTTCCCCTTCCTCCCACACAGGATGGGCAGATGGCCATGAGCATTCCCACCGCAGACCTTGACCCTACCCTGCAGGGTCCATGAGCTTTGTCACAGCTTGGAGAGCCCTGGACCCTCCAGGTGCAATCAAGAGCCAGGCCTGTCTACAGTACTGAGGCTGGAGAGTCAGGGGGCTCCCTGGCCAGAGGCCCAGCCCTGTTTGTGGATTTATAGGATCAGACCAGGCTCGGCAGATGTGGCCTGCAGAGTGTTTCTGATGGGACCACGTGCCCATTTAGGGCTAAGAACGGGGCCTGTATAAGGACCCGGCTTCCTAACAGCTGCCGAACCATGGCACCTATGGGTTGTTGCTGATAAACTCACCTGGGAGCAGATATGGTTCCACACTGAGGGCTGTGTCCTCTGCCGCTTTTTCAAAAGCACAAAATCGACTGCCACAGGGAACTCTGATGTGCACCCTCCCCACACCTGCTATCCCTTCTCTATCTAGAAAGCCTCTTGGTCCCAGTGGATCTGGAACTGGGGATAAGAGAGAAATCTTACCCCAGAGGGTCAGATGATGGCTATCATTGGTGAGAGGGGAAGGGAGACCCTTCCCGGAAGGGACTGCTGACCCATGGCTCAGCCTTGTTCTAAAAGAAGCCCCAGCTCTGTTGCTGACTTGATGAATAGCAGTGACCGCTGGAATCTCTTTACCTTTGAGAATACAGGGTTGGGTCCAGGAGATAATGGGAACCTACTGCTCTTCTGGATAGAAAAGGAATGATCAGAAGCAAGTGCTTTTCCAGGCCTCTTGATCTCCCATCGTCTCATCCCATCCTACCCACTGGGAGCCTGCATGAAGCAGGGTTGGGTTGAAGACGCATTTGTGCCCCTGTGACCAACCCTCCCGGGGCAGGTGCCTGCCCCTCATGCACCATCCCCATTCCTGAGCTGAGGTCCCGGGGTCGGGGTAGCGTTTTGAACAGAAAGCCCGGAGAAGACCATCTCTGCCATCCTGGCGCAGAGTTGAGTTGATAACAAGGTAGAACTGAAAAGGACAGATGGGTCAGGCCTGGGTGCAGGGTTGGCTGTCCATGTCACCAGGTCCCCCTTTGACAACCAGGAGCCCTGACACTCCTGCCAGGAGAAGGGACCGGAGAACAAGGTAATACGTCCAGGACTCTAGGACCGGGCTTTCTTCTTACCTTAGTATTTCTTGAGCCATCGAATGATCAAGGAAGAGAGGGTCCCACAAAGGCCAGGAGGAGTCTGGGGTGAGTCGTTCTCTTTGGAGATCAAAAATAATGCTGTTTTCCCTTGCTTTTTCCTCTGGCCTGTCCTGAACCTCACAGAGATTCCTGTAGCACCGCCAACCACTGCAGCCAGCAGCGTGGAGGAGCCAGAAGGTGAGCTGTCCCTGAGCTGCTTGTGTTACTTTTGCTCATTTTGGAGTGGGAGTGGGGATTAGAAGACGGCGCCTCCTGTAACCCCTGGGCTCCACCCATCCCACAGTGCACCGAAGACAAGGGAGCATCGGGTACTTTTGGGGGATTTTGCTTCTGAAAATAAAAGGTGCTGTAACAGAGCCATTGGGCAAGTCCCCTAAAGCCAGAGGCTCCATGGTGAAGCTCCTTGTCCTCGATGCTGAGCTTTGAGTGCTGTCTGCTGGCTGCAGCATCTGGGCTGCCTTCCTAGGCGTCCTGAGGAGGGAGGGGCAGGCTGGGACGAGGCTTCCTGGGCCTGGTTCCCCACTCTCATGGAAATTGGAGGGCCCATGAGGTGCAGCAAGAGGAGAATCCCACATCCACGTTCTCCCACTTCTAACTGGAGTTGTAACATTTCCTCCATGACAGATGTGGGCCACCAACCACAGCCTTGTGATGATGCGGCCACCAGTAGCAGCCATAGCTGTGTTCACATCAGGTCATTGTTGGTACAGATAGCACAAAATATTTATGCTCATGATTGCTTCAAAGTTATAGCAATTACTGGACCTACTACTAGATCCTGATTTATAGTCATTTAAAGAAGCACATGTCATCCCAGCACTCTGAGAGGTTGAGGCAGGAGGATTGCAAGTTCGAGCTGTAATCTCTGTCTAGCCCTTTTTATTTTTTATTTTGAGACTGGGCCCGAACTTGCTCTCCTCTGGCCTCACCTGCCCTCGCCTCCTCTCAAACGGGTGCTCCTTGATTTAGGATGGGGTTCTATGCTGAAAATGTCCTGAGTACAAAATGCGTGGAGAACACCTCACTCACTGAGCCTCATCACTCAGCCATAGAGTGCTGGGCTTTTCCCCGCCGAGATCGCAGGGCTGGTGGAGCCATAACTCCCTGCTCTGACCCCAGATGGCAAGCCCAGAAAAACATCCAAATTCAAAACGTGAAATGTTGTTTTTCCTGACTGTGTAACCCTTTCACACTACGGTAAGGTCGCTGCTTGTTACTTCAGATCGTCCTAGGTCAGGACCAGGTGTGTTTTATTTTAGTGTTGAAAAATCCTGAGGCTGAATCGCAGTGTTTCTTGGTGCAGTTTGAAAGGCCTTGCAGCCCTGGTATTGCGCATGCAGAGGGCACAGAGTCTGGCAGTGTGGGTGCCCTCAGGAGAGTAGTCCAGGCCCACCCTGGGCTCCTGGTTGTGAACACCGTGGCTTCTGTGTACTTGGAGCAGGCAGAGTGACAGTGACATTTGTGCCATCCCTGAGGGTCCTTCCTTTCCCCAGAGAGGACTGTGTGTGTTGGGGGCGGGGGGGGGGCCAACTGACAGCCTGCAAGAAGGGCAGAACTATACTTCAGGGGTGGCAATGCCACCCTGGGAAAGCTACCTGTGGCAGGGCCTCAGTGGTTTGCTGAGGCTTCCTGTGCCTTGGTTGAGCAGCTGCGATGGGATGGGTTTGAAGGCAGCCCTGCCACTCACAGGGTGCCTGGGGCTGGTGGGCTGGAGGGAGAAAGCCCTGGGCATCCGCCGCAGCGGCATCTCTCACAGTTCAGTTGATTTGGGGGCGGGGGGTAATAGTTTTTTTTTTTAATTAAAAAAATTATTTTTCCCAGTTCCTCAGGAGGCTGAGTCACTTGAGTCCCAGAGTTTAAGGCCAGCCTGGGCAACATAGTGAGGCCCGTTTTGGTGGTGGTGGTGGGGAACCCTTTTGTTCACTGAGGACAAAGGTATACTTTTCTAGCTTTTTGTTTCGATTTTCTAAATTAAACACCAGTGGAGGGCTTGGAAGTCCAGCTCAGCGCTCACTCCCCAGCACCGTTAATCAAGGAAATGCAAGGAAAGGGAGGAGTGTTGAAGCTCACTATCTATTCTCAGCGCACAGTCGTGGCAGCCCTTCCACCAGGGAAGCCTGAGGGGACTCAGCTGCACAAGCCTGCGGGCTCCCAGCCGAGTGCTGTAGGGGTGGTGAGCACAGCTTGTGTGTTTGACTGAAGGCAGGAGAGACCTTTTCCCTTTTAATTACTAATGCATATTAATTGTGCAAATTAATGGGTTACATGGTGACATTTAGAACAGAGCTTAATGATCTGTTTCCTTTCATTTTTTTTTCCTACACCTTGCAACAGAATTTTAGATTTTTTATGCTGTTTTTTGGCTTTTTCCCTTCCAAAGCAGAAATGGGCAAATGGGGAGGGAGGGGAAATCAAGAGCTTAGAAAAAATAATTTTGTGCTCCCTCCCATATCTACCTGCACTCCACACAGCTGGTGTAAAGCACCCAAGGTTCCCAGCTCTCCTAGACAAAACATCTGCCCCCTCCTTTATTTTGCAAGGCTAGAAGTCAAACAGAGGGTAGGCAAATGTTCTTGGTTATATCCCCCGCCCAGATAGGAGATTCTCGGACAGCACTTTTTAACATCCCTACATCCTCTTTGCAAACTGTTTCCTTGACAGTCCTTGGTTGGTTAATTAACTTTTCTGATTCCTCTTGATTTTGTGACTATTTTTCCTTTCTTCTTCCTTTACAAATATGATTTAAATACTTACCAAGTTCTTTCCTCACAGAAGGGCTGGGCAGTCAGGTTTGGGTCTTGGAGATTTGAGTAAACCCTTGCTAACTGGTAAGGGGGGGCCCAGAAAGTACGAGTCACCCCTAGAACCACCGTGCTGGCCTTCAGCCCCTCCCATCAGAGAGCTGAGAGCTGGAGGGCAGGCGGGCCCTGGAAGTCGGACCTGGGAGTACAGCACCCCTAAACCTGTCCACTCTTGCATGTTTGAGCAGGGAAGGCCTCTGTGTGGAGCTGCCTGAGAAAAGCTTATTTACTTTTGCCTGCCAAACAGAACAGAGAGAATTAATAAGCCAAGGATTTGTCCTGAAGGCTGACAGACATAACCTCGCACTGAACTCGTCCCCTTGAAGGGCCAGCTCACTTAGGGAATGTGCTCTACCTGCTCCCTGCACAGGCCAAGGAGCTGTCATGGGTGGGATGGCCAGAACACAGTGTCGTGGGAGGTCTGGGGCAGGGAGGCTGGGAAGGGACAGCAGGACCCTCACTTCAAAAGGGTGGCGTGCCTGAGGTTCCCCGGGCACACACCGGTTTCCTGGTTGCAGAGGCCTCAATACCCTTTGGCTAAAAGAGGGTCACCTGTCTCCCCTCACCCTGCCCACCACTTGAGGGAAGTCTTGGCTTGCAGATGGCTAGCTTTAGTGGAGGTCACTTGGTTCACTGGAGGAGCACCGACCAGTACGGAGCCAGAGGATCTGGATTGCTCCTTCCCTGGCTCGAGGTCTTGGACTGAACAGGCGTGGGGCCCTGTGCCCCCAGGCTCCTCCCTGCCCTGCTTTTCTGCAGCAGGACTAACCCTCCACTTCTTTTGGGCTTTCTTCCTTATCCACATCTGATGATTGACCCCATCCACAAGCCCCAGCAGAGGCAGAGGCCAACGTGTCTGGAGGGAAATATTTCATACCTGGGCTGTTTTGTAGCTTGTGCTGCTTTCCCTGGGGTAGATATTCTGCCTGAACCCTGTTTCAGGCTGCCTCATAGAAGTGACGCGCAGGGTTGGCTCTCAGAGCTCAGAGAAGCCGTTCACACCCCACCTTGCTGTGGGCCTGTCCAGGAAATGGCCAGGGATCCTTGGGAAGAGGGGTGTCTCTGCTGGTCTCCCTGGTTTGAAATACTTGGCCGCCTCCTCGGGCCAGCCTGGCCAGGGCTGGGGTAGGGCAGTGAGGAGTGAGCCAAGCTCTCTCAGCTTTCCACAGGGGCCTTGGACCCTCACCCTGTCTTCTTCTTGTGCCCACCCCATTTGGGCCTCTACCGGCCCCCTTAATCCACTGACCCCAGACTTGGGCCCAGGGTGGTTCCAAGAGCACCGTGCATGCGCCCCTTAGGAAGCCTAGAGAGAAAACTCTGCAGGAATCAGCTGGACCCATGGAGCTGGATGCCAGCGGGTGAGCTGGGGAGGGGTAACTTCTGAGGTGTCACAGTGAGTGGCCTCTCAGCACATCCGGTTTTTCAGTAAAGGAAATAACTTTGTGTACACTTGCAACCTGGATCGTTCTCAGGGTAGCCTTTTTTTTCCCACCATAGGGATGAGGCTGGTGACAGGGGACGGTGTGGCATCAGGACTTGAAGCATGGGTGAGGTTTTGTGGGCAGGACAGGAGAGAGGACAAAGCTTTGAACTGGCAGCCTGAGCTGGACTTGCGCTCTTGTGGTTTCTTTCTCTGAAATGACTAACGATAACCTTGCATTGAAGGGGTGCTTGGGTGATTAAATGAGATGACCTTGAATCAGTGGGGGTCCTGTTGTAAGACCTCAGCAAAAAGAATAAAATCACAGGAAAAATGCAGCTATCACAGTGTAACGGGGTGTTGAACCAAGCCGGCCGTGTCTCTGCCAGCTTCTGCCCAGGAGAGTGGCGTTTGGGAGGCGGTTGTTGACATAAGGAAAGGTGTGGAGGATTAGTTTGATGTAGGGTCCTTAGGGAAACCCTCAGAAGTGACAAGTCAGGAGCTGTTGGTCTCATCAGAGCTTTGTAGCTGCTAATATTAGATACCACGCAGAGCTAGAGATTAGAAATTGATCAGAGGTCAAGTACTTGACTTCATGATAGCCAAAGGGTGGGAGCAGCCCAGTGTCCTTCCTGTCTTCGCATTCCGAGGGAGGCTTTGAAGGCAGGGTGTTTCTTAGTTTCTCAGCTTGGCCAGCGGGCTGAGGGGTCAGGGGAACAGTGGGGGTGCTGCGTCTCCTCCCAGCTGTGCGGCTGGGCGCACTTGGCTTGAATCAGCATAGTCAGGCCCCACACCTGCAGCCCCTTCTGCTTTGGAGACATCTGAGAAGGGTGTGGTTCCTGGGGTGCTTCAGTATTTCTGCAGTAGGGAACGGGGAACTGTGAGTGGGAGGCAGATCGAGAACCCTGCAGCTTATATAAGTAGGCCCGAGACCCATGTGTTGGCCAAGGCGCCAG